GTGCCATTCTGCCCAAGAACTTCCCAGTAGCGTGCCCTTAGAGACCACACTGCTTTGTTTTGTTTTTGGCAGACAGTTTTGTGAAGTGTGGTGTAATGCCCCTAACTCCTTCACAGAGGACTGAATGTTCAGAAAGCCTGGACTCCCCCAGGGCAGCCACCAAATCTTGGGTTGCTCCACATCCCAGCCTCCAGCTTCAGGCCTGGTCCAGCTTCCTGGAATGGTAGTCCTTGGAATGTTTGCCTAGTAGATGATGTTTCTGATATTTTGAATTAGTTGCCCCAAAAAAGTATGAAATATAAATTAGTTGCCAATTAATTTTTTTAATGTTAATTTTTGAGAGAGACAGAGACAGAGCATGAGCGGGGGAGGGGGGCAGAGAGAGAGAGGGAGACCCAGAATCTGAAGCAGGCTCCAGACTCTGAGCTGTCAGCACAGAGCCTGATGTGGGGCTCAAACTCATGAACTGCGAGATCATGACCTGAACCCAAGGTGGACGCTCAACCAACTGAGCCACCCAGGCGCCCCAGTTGCCAATTTTTTTTTTTTTAATTGAAGGAGTTCAAATGGAAATCCACATTTCTAGGGTCTCTTGAAAAGAAAAAAGATCAGATCTGTCAACTGTACATTGTCATATAGCAATGGGTGGGCAAGCCAGATGTTAACTTCCCTCTTTAAGATGGGATATAAGTTCTCCAAGCCAACATATATCTTCGCTCATATCCTTCAGTTGTTCTGCCAGTCTGATCTCTGACTTACTTTTCTCAATAATCCAGAATCATCCCAATGAGCATTGGTTGACATTCTTATTTGCATAGTAGCCACTGACTTGCTTGCCACTATGCTAGATGTCCCCACATTTTAAGACTTCCTAAATTCCTGTGTTGATTATGATTTACCAATCTTCTAGTTGCCAACAAGGATCCTAAAATGTAAGCATTAATAATAACCCCTTAGGAGCAACTGGCTGGCTTAGTCTGTAGAGCATACAACTGTCTCTCTCTCTCTCTCTCTCTTAATATTATTTATTTATTTTTGAGAGAGACAGAGTGTGTGTAAGTCGGGGAAGGAGAAAGAGGGAGAGAGAATACCAACCTCAAGTACCTACACAGGGCTCAATCTCACAACCTTGATTTCATGACCTGAGCCAAAATCAAGGGTCAGATGCTCAACCAGTTGAGGCACCCAGGTGGCCCTAGAGGAAGCAGCTCTTGATTTCAAGGTTGTGAGTTTGACCCCCACATTGGATGTAGAGATTACTTAAAAAAAAAAAATCTTTATTTAAAAAATACATAACCCTGGGGACGCCTGGATGGCTCAGTCGGTTGGGCGTCTGACTCTTGGTTTCATCTCAGGTCATGATCTTGTAGTTCATGGGTTTGAGCCCTGTGTTAGGCTCTGTGCTATGTGGAGCCTGCTTGGGATTCTCTCCCTTCCCCTCTCTCCACCCTCCCTCCCCACTCACATACACACGAGTGTGCTCTCTCTCTCTCTCTCAAAATAAATAAGTAAACTTTAAATATATATATATAAACTCGAGCTTACAGGATGGATCCTTATAGCTTTCTTTTTTTTAACGTTTTATTTATTTTTGAGAGAGCACAAGAAGGAGATGGGCAGAGAGAGAGGGACAGAGGATTCGAAGCAGGCTTTGCACTAACAGCAGTGGAGCCTGATGTGGGGCTTGAACTCACAAACTGTGACATCATGACCTAAGCTGAAGTCATACGCTCAACTGACTGAGCCACCTAGGTGCCCCCTTGTAGCTTCGTTTTGAGGTGGGCAGGGCTGGAATTGTTACACATTTGACAGAAGAGGAAACAGGGATGAGTGCGTGCCTGAAGCATCACAGAGTCAGCAGCAAGCAAGTGCCTGGGGCTTGAATAGCTCACACAGAGAGGGAGTTTGATGTGCCAGGGGTCATGTGGTATGAGGATCAGATGATGAGGATTGTGCTCTGAGATCCTGGATCTCTTGGGGGTAGAGCTTGGCATCACTACCCTATGGTGGTCTGAGGCTAAATGTGGATAATTTTCTGCCCTGGCATCCTGTTATCTATCACTGTGTAACAAATCACCCATGCTTAGTAGCATAAAACAACAATCATTTATTATTATCTTTTGGTTTGGGGAGTTGATTGAACTCAGCTGGGCAGTTCTTGCTCTTGATCTCTTCTGTGGTTGCAGTTAGAGAGTGGCTGGACTGGTGCCATTTTGAAGGCTTACTCACACACATGGCTGTCACTTGATGCTAGCTGTCAGCAGGAAACCTGCACATGGCCTCTCTGTGTGTCCTGGGCTTCCTTCTAGGATGGTAGCTGGATTCCAATGGTGAATGTCCCAAGAGAGAGCAATGTGGGAATTGTGTCACCTTTTATTTGTTTAATTATTCTTTTTTTTAAGTTTATTTATTTTGAGAGAGAATGTGTGTGAGTGAACAGGGGAGGGACAGAGAGAGAATCCAAAGCAGGCTATATGCTGCCAGTGTGGAGCCCCCAACACAGGGCTCAGTCTCAGGAATGAGGAAACCATGACCTGAGCTGAAGTCAGAAGTTGGACGCTTGACTGATTGAGCCACCCAGGTGCCCCAATTATTCTTTAGAAACATTTTTTTCTAGCTTTATGGAGATAAAATTTGCGTAGAACATTGTGTAAGTTTAAAGTATAATGTGGGGGTGCCTGGATGGCTCATTTGGAGGTACATGAGACTCTTGATCTTGGAGTTGTGAGTTCGAGCCCCATGTTAGGTATAGAGATTACTTACTAAAAATAAATAATAAATAAACTTTTAAAATATACAAAGTATACAATGTGATGATTTGATATACATATACGTTATGAAATGATGACCCCAATAATAAGGTTAGTTAACTATTTGGTTACCATTCACCTCACATAATTGTCAGTAATTATTTTGCTATGGTGGTAATGGTGGTGATGAGAACCTTTAAGACCTATTCTCTTAAGAGCTTTCAAGTATACAATACAGTATTGTTAACTATAGTCACCATCTTGTACATTAGATCCCAGAACTTAATTCATCTTCTAACTGAAGTTTGTACCCTCTGACCAACATTTCCCCATTTCCCCCACCCCAGCCCCTGGCAACCACCAATCTACTCTCATTTTCTATGAGTTTGGCTTCTTGAGATTCCACACACAAGTAAGATGTGCAGTATTTGCCTTTCTCTATCTGACTTATTTCACTTATAATGCTCTCAAGTCCATCCATGTTGTCCCAAATGGCAAGATTTCCTTCTTTTTTGTGGCTGAATCATATTCTATTATGTGAGGAAAAGTGGCATATTGTTTCTTTATCCATTCATCCATTTGTGGACATGCGGGTGTTTCCATATCTTGACTACTGTATGTTATCACCTTTTATAATCTAGTCTTGGAATTTATATTGGCATCACTTCCACCATACTGTTATTCGAAGCAACCACAAAGACCCACCCAAGTTCTAGAGAAGGGCCATACACTACCATTTGATTGGAGAGTGGCAAGGTTCTCTTTATTTTATTTTTGAGAGGAAGAGAGAGCATGAGTGGGGAAGGGGCAGAAGGAGAGAAACAGAGAATTCAAAGCAGGCTCCAGACTCTGAGCTTGTCAGCACAGAGCCCAATGCAGGGCTCCAACTCATGAACCATGAGATCATGACCTGAGCTGAAGTCGGATGCTCGGCCAACTGAGGAGAGTGGCAAGGTTCTAGAAGAGCAGGAGGGATAGGAGATATTGATGTCATCATTTTTGATGTGATCATCTTTGAAAAATATACTCCACCACACCAGGAGGAGGGTAGCTCTGGAGTCAGATGTCTGTGTTAGAATCCCAGTTGTACTCTCATGGCTCTGAGTCTCCGTTTCCTCATCTGTCAAATGGGACTAATAATAGCACCTATTTCATGTGATTGCTGTGAGGATTGAATGAGACAGGGTCCCAAAGTACAAAGTAACTGGCACATGGCCAGTGCTTAGTTGTTCTCACTATTGTTGGGACAGGTCATCATGCTAAGCTCTGATGAGTATGAGTCACCTTGCCAGGCCACTGCCTGTTTTTGTGTGTGTGTGAGGAAGACTGAGGCATCAAAGTCCACAAGAATGTGGGATATGGCCAAGCCTATGTGTTAGATTGTGTGTATATATGTGCATGAGTGTGTGTGTTTGCCAAAAGGTGTCTGTCCATGTGTGATGCTTGGAAAAAATGAGAAAATATAGAAACAAAGAACGCTTTCAAACCTTCCCAGGAATGTTTGAATCAAATGAACCCTTGGGGACTGTGGCCTGATGGAAAGACAAGGCATACCAGGTGGAGAGGCAGGGAGAAAGGCCTTTCTGAGGTTCATAATCACACTTGGGCTGAGAGCCAGGGGCCCTGTTAGGGCCAATAGCTTCCCACACACGGTTGCCTTTTCAGCTTGGAGGACAGCTCCACATCTGGGCCCTCCTCCTCGTCATCCCTATTGCTATTAGCAGATAATTTGTTAATTCATTCAAATACATTTTTTTAGTCAACTAGTTTATTCTTTAAGATTTTATATTTTATTTCATTTCATTTCATTTCATTTCATTTTAGGGAGGGAGGGAGGGACAGAAGGAGAGAGAGAGAGAAAGAATCTTAAGGAGACTCCACACTGACTGTGGAGCCTGATCACACAACCATGAGATCATGACATGAGCTGAAACTGAGAGTCGATAGTTAACCAACTGGGCCACCCAGGTACCTCTTAAGTTTTTATTTTAATTCCAATTGGTTAACATACAAAATATGGAACATTTTTCAGGGTGCCTAGGTGGCTCGGTCAGTTAAGTGTCCAACTTTGGCTCAGGTCATGATCTTGTGGTCCGTGAGTTCCAGCCCTGAATTGGGCTCTGTGCTGACAGGTCAGAGCCTAGAGCCTGCTTTGGATTTTGTGTCTCCCTCTCTCTCTCTGCCCCTCTCCTGCTCATACTCTGTCTTTCTTCCTCAAAAATAAATAAACATTAAAAGTTTTTTTTTTTTTAGAATATGGAACATTTCACAAATTTGTGTGTCATCCTTGTACAGGGGCCATGCTAATCCTCTGAGTATCATTACAGCTTTAGCATATGTGCTTCCGAAGCAAGTCATTCATTCAAATATTTATTGAACACCTAATATGGGCCAGGAACTATGCTGGAGGCTGGGGATAAAGCAACGAACAAAGCCCCTATCCTAGAGGAGCTCGTGTCCTAGTTGGTTGAGGTATTATATCCATAAACCATAACCATATATCACGGACAAATGTCACATCAAGTGGTGGTAAATGCCATGAAGAAAAATCAGAGGGATGGGTGTGACTCGGGAAGAGAGAGATACTCTAGAGAGAAGGTCAGGGAGACCTCTTGAGCAGAGAACTGAGTGTCTGGGGGAAGACATTTTGGGCAGAGGCAACAGCAAGCACCTTGGATGAGAATGTGCCTGGTATATCCCAGGATCAATGAGGAGGTCAAGGAGGTTGCAGTGAAATGAATTAGGGGCAGAGGGGAAGAAACTGGATCATAAAGCTGCCAGGAGATGGGGAACCATGAGCTTCAGCAGGGGAGGCCGACTCTCCTTCCTCTCCTTTGCCTTCTCCACCACCCTCACTTGTTCCTTTCCTGCCGCTGCTGTGCCAATTTACCGTGGAATGGTGACCTAAAACAACCGAAATATATTGTCTCAGATTATGGAGACCAGAGTCCCAAATCAAGGTGTCAGCAGGGCCACATTTCCCCCCAAAGGCTCTAGGGAATAATCCTTTTTTGCCTCTTCCAGCTTCTACTGGCTCTGGGAGTTCACTGGTTTATGGCCATATCCCTCCAATCTCTGTCTCCATCTTTGTGTGGCCTCTTCTTCTCCCTCTGTCTCTTCTCTCTTCTCTTCTCTTCTGAGGATGCTTGTCATTGGATTTAGGATTTAAGCTCATCTCAAAGTCCTTAACTGAACTGTACCTGCAAAGACCTTTTTCCCAAGTAAGGCCACAATCACAGGTTCTGGAGTTAGGATGTGGGTATATCTCTTGAGATGTGCAGTGTCTAACCCACTGCACTTCATTCATCCAGGATCTAAGGCAGAGGCAAGTAGGGCCTCTGTGGCTCTCGGCTTCCACCTTTGTAAAAGTGGATGATAGCATAGTCCTAGAGTGATCAGGAAGGAAAGATGGTGTCGTGGATTTAAAAAAAGTGTTCTATAGTGCCCCACACATGTAGGTGCTCAATTTTGAATTATTATTTAGGGGATGTCCCCCATAAAATTAGTCACTTTATCAAGTTTCTTGAGCTTCTGTTGAGTGCAGAGCCTCTACTAGGCACCATGGGAGTCAAAAAGGAAGGGGCAGACCCAACATCAGATCCCCCTCCTGAGGCTGCTCTGGTTGGCAGAGAGTACCTGCCACCCTCACCCTTTGTGATAGTTAATTTTATGTGTCAACTTGGTTAGGCTGCAGGGTGTCCAAAGTAAACATTATTTCTGGGTGCCTCTGTGCTTTTTTGGATGAGATTAGCATTTGGATGAGCAGACTCAGTAAGGTAGAAGGTCCTCCCCAATGTGGGTGGGCACCATCCAATCCATTGAGAGCCTGAATAGAACAAAAGGCAGAGGAAAGCAGCATTTGTTCATTTCCTGACTTCTTGTTGAGCTGGGACATTGATCTTCTCCTGCCCTTGAACTAAATTACACATTCAGCTTTCCTGGGTCTCCAGGTTGAAGATCATGAGATCTTCTTAGTTTCCATAATTATGTGAGCCAATTCTTCAAGATAAATTTCTCTCTCTTTTTTTAACATGAATGAATCTCAGATACTAAGCTTAGTGAGAAGCCAAGTAAAAAAGAGCAAATTTGCTCTTGAACAGGCAAAACTAATTTATGTTTACAGAAACCAGAATTGGTTGTTACTTGGGGCACCTGGTGGCTCAGTCAGTTATGTGTCCTACTCTGGGTTTCAGCTCAGGTCATGATCTTGTGGTTTGTGAGTTCAGGCCCCGCATCAGGCTCTACACTGGCAGTGTGGAGGCTGCTTAGGATTGTCTCCCTCTCCATCTCTCAGCCCCTCTCCAGCACATTCTTTCTCTCTCTCTTTCAAAGTAAATAAACTCTTTGAAATTTAAAATTTAAATTTAAAAAGAAAGAAAGAAAGAATAGTAGTTACTTTGGCAGAGGGATTGAGGACTCTCAACTAGGAAGGGACATGAAGGAGCCCATCTAGTGGTCTGGAAATAGTGTGGGTAGAGGTTACATGGGTTTAACAAAAGTAAAAATGCATGAAGCCAGACGCTTAGGTGAGTTTTATTTACTTACCTGTTTGTATATCACAATCACAATTTAACAAGACTGCCAGTACCAAATGTTGACAAGGATGAGGAGTACCAGGACTTCTCATGCTTTGCTGGTAGGGGAGGAGTAAATAGCTATAACCTCTCTGGCGACCCATTTGGCAATAACTTGCAAAGTTGAAGTTGTGTGTGCCCTTTGACCCACCAATTCCATTCGCAAGTCTGTATCTGAGAAAATATCACACGTGTACAAGAAGACATGTACAATATTGTTTATTGCATCCTTGTTTATAAATGCAAAATATTAGAGGCGACCTGAAGTGGGATACCCGGTTGGTCAGTTAGTTAAACATCTGACTCTTGGTTTCGGTTCTGGTCATGATCTCATGGTTCGTGAGATCAAGCCCCATATTGGGCTCAGCCTGATGGCACAGAGCCTACTTGGGATTCTCTCTCTCCACTCTCTCTGTCCCTCCCCTGATCATACTCTCTTTCTGTCTCAAAATAAATAAATAAACATTTAAAAAAAAAGAAGCAGCCTGAAGGTTCATCAACAGAATAATAACATGTGGTCCACTCATATAATGTAACTATACATACCAGTTGGGTTAGAGAGAAGAGGTAGAGAATCATAGGTAGTATCTCTAGGGGACTCAAAGATCAAGTCCAGGGGTGCCTGAGTAACTCAGCTGGTTAAGTGTCCTACTCTTTATTTCAATTGAGGTCATGACCTCACAGTTGTGAAATTGAATCCTGTGTCAGGCTGTGTTGAGTGTAGAGCCTGCTTGGGATTCTCTTCTCTCTCTGTCCCTCCCCTGTGCTCGCTTTCATACACACACTCTCTCAGAATAAATAAATAAACACTTTTCATAAATAAATAAGCAAAATGATAGGATATAAAAAAAAGATCAAGTCCATGCTCTATTTTAGACATAATGAGACTGATACCCATAGAGGATGACTGATTTGTCCAGGGCCACACAGCAAATTAATGAACAAGTCAGATTAGGCCCTGGGTTTTCTTACTCCCAATCCAGTACTCCTCTCTACAGGTAGAAAAGGATATTACTTATAATCTCTGTTCAGGGAACTTCCTTGGGGGCCTGAAGCAGCCCCAAACTTGGGGAGGTAAGCACAATCGTGTTTTGGGTGTAGAGACACTCTGCCCGCAGAGATGGCCTATGACCAGTTCAAGGTCCAGCTGCCCCATCACAAATATTATGAAATTCACCACTTCTCTAAGACCAGGCCAGGATTTCTCAGGGGCCCTTAGCAGGTGCTACAACCAAAGGGAGTTGGGGCAGAGTGAAGATATGGTGCCAGACTTCCATGAAAACTCTCATCCCATCAGGATCTACATTCTCTTTCTGCCCTGGGCCCACCCCTGCCCTGCCTGTAACACTCCTGCACTCAGCCATCCCATCATGCATTAAGGTCCCCATCTTAGATGTTTCCTCTGAACTTCCTCTGATCTTCCTAGAATGTTTCCTTTCAGGGCCTCTGGACAAGAGTAAATGAGGGGCCCTGATTTGAGGTTGACTTTACTTGATGGAATGATTCTTTGTAAAATTTGTCCAGAGAGATATCCTAATCTTCACAGAGGTGTCATTATGGTGGCCTTGTCTCCCCTCCTGAGACTTCAGAAAGAGTACCACTTCCCCTACCATCCTCTCAAGCAGAGGCCTCTAATTTCCTGTCATCTCCATGCATCTCAGAACCGTCTCCACTCCTTAGTGTTCCTTGCACATTGTTGCTTCAATTTAACTGTCTGAGCCTCTCTCCTCAGTTGCAGAGTGGAGATGGTCAAAGTATTGCCAAAGAATGCTTTTGGTTGCAAGTAATAGAAAACCTGACCAATAGTAGGTTAGGGGACTTTGTCTTATAGGAAGTCTTGACACAGGGAGCTGCTTGTGTTGTTTCACTGGCTTAATGATGTCATATCCAGTGGCTCTGTGAGTCTGTTGGCCTTTTCCTCATGTTGTGACCTCACGGAATATGTTGTTTCGTAGATGACATCATGTCCATATTCCAGGTAGAAGTACAAAGAAAAGCAAAGGAATGAAGGATGATCAACCTGAATCTCTTCTTGGAAAGTTTATGTCACAGTGCCCTCTTTAGCTAGAAGGTAGCTAGATATTGATTAAATTAGTCACTAACAAACAGTATCCACACATCACATCAGCCTCTCCGGGATGATATGAGGATTACAAGAGCATAGTGCCACCAGAACAGCTAAAATGTAAAAGGCTGACCATATCAAGTGTTGATAAGAATGTGGAGCAGCTAGAACTCTCATACATTGTTGGTAGGAGAATAAATCGGCACACCCTCTTTGGAAAACTATTTGGCAGTGTATACTGAAGCTAAATATACATCTGGATTATGGTTCAGCAACACCCCTAGGTTTATATGTCCAAGAGGAGTAAATAAATACATCTACCAAAAGGCATGTACATGAGTGTTCATGGCAGGCTTCTTCTCTGAAAGCAATCCCAGTGCCTGTCCACAGCAGAACAGATCAACTGTGGGCTATTTATATAACAGGACACTGTGAGGTGCCTGGGTGGCTTAGTCGGTTAAGTGCCTGAATTCAGTTCAGATCATTCTCAAGGTTTGTGAGTTCAAGGCCCACATTGGGCTCTCTGCTGTCAGTGAAGAGCTGGCTTAGGATTTTCTGTCTCTCTCTCTCTCTCTGCCCCCTCCCACTCCCACTCTCCCTCTCTCAAAAATAAATAAACATTTAAAATTTTTAAAAATTAAAAAAATAAATTAAAAAAACCCAATGGGTTACTGCAAAATGAAAAGAGAGAGAAAGAGGTAGGGGTGCCTGGGT